GTTAAGAAATTCATAGTCTCAGAATTTGAAATCAAACCCAGAATGTCTATTCAAATGTTAGGATTTACATTGAAACATTAAGAATAATCGAGACTCTGGCCGAAAACTTGGGTTTTCTTAAGCATCGCCTAGAGTGTACGCCCTTCGTTCGCTCCTGGCTGCCCCTCTGACTCTCACTTCCCCCCCGGGCTGGCCGCCGATCCTCGCCCTCGAAGTGCAGCCTCGCGAGGCCGCCGCACACCTCGCCGCGGGCGGCATGGGACGGTATATGGCTGCTCGGCGCGGCGACGAGACGTGGGGTGTGTTTGCAATCCTTCGTGGGTTTTTTTTGCAATCCTTCGGTTTTTGTTTGCAATCTTTCGTTTTTTGGCAATCCTTCGCTCACCAGAGCCGAACGTCTGTTCAGGACAAACTGAAAGTTCGCAGTTCCTGCTTTTCTGCGTCATCAGCATCAGCACCATCATCATCAGCATCATCATCATCATCATCATCATCATCATCATCATCATTATCATCATCATCATCATCATCATCATCATCACCAGCAGTAGCAGCAGCAGCAGCAGCAGAACCATCACACGCATCAGCAGCAGCAGCATCAACCTCAGCAGCAGCATCAGCATCAGCACCATCAAGAACACCAGCGTACCCACCATCGTCATCATCAACAACCTCATCCTGATCCTCATCCTCATCATCAGCAACATCATTATCATCCTCATCAGCATGAATATCGCCACCATCATCAACATCAACATGATCAACATCATCGTCCTCGTCATGATCAGCACTCCCATCACACTCACCAACACCAATAGCATAGATATCACGCTTTAGGCGGATCGCGAAACGTCATCGTCATCATGATCATGATCATCATCATCAACAGCATCATCATCCTCATCAGTATCAGCATCATCATCTTCACCAGCAGCATCGTCATCATCAGCATCGTCATTGTCAACATCATCATCATCATCATCATCATCATCATCATCATCATCATCATCATCAACATCATCCACAACATCATCATCGTCATCTCCATATTCCGCATCACCAGCAGTAGCACCATCATTAGCCTCAGCACCCTCAACATCATCGAACATACACTTTCCAGCCATCGGGGCGCCTGTTCCAGCTTGGGCGCCCGGGATGGGTAACGGAAGACATGGGCACGATGCCCACACCGACAGCAGCCGCTGTTGGACAGGCGGCCTTCTGTCTGAAATGGTCTACGTCCGTAGCGCCGCCGACAGCCAGCTCGGTCCAAAATGAACAAGAATTGCTGCCGGTCTGAGAACTCATTCTTTCCGTACCCATTTCGATCGCACCGATCCAGGGCGCCTGGGGAGTTGACACCCCCGCGTTCCCGGCCGCCCTGGGACAGGTGCCCACCGGTGGCTGAACAGTTCATGCTACACCGTCCTTCCCCCGCTAAGCCTCGACGACGGTGGCGCGCTGCCCGGCGGCGAAGTCCGCGAAGCCGTCCCTCACGAAGACGGCGTCTCCCGCCGCCAGAGGCGGCTCCCGCGCGTGCCTAGGGCGAGAATGATGTCATGATGAGACTGGCTCAGCATACTTTCCAGGATTTCCAGAGCATCTAGCGGCGCAGCCAGTGCGGAACGCGAGGAAGCATAGAACATCCTGGAGACCTTGGACATCCTGGAACGCATCATTACTATGGCCTCTTGCTCCTCGGAGTGCCTGCCCTCGCTGAACACGCCCCTGGAGGCGGCGGCCCTCAGGCAGCGCGCGCTCACCTAGAGGCCTCCCAGGTGGGGTCCGAGCAGATAGGGTCGGAGGATCCCGCCGTATCGCCGATGCATCGCCGATACATCCCCCGATGCATTGCCGATGCATCGGCGACGTTTGCGATGCGTCTGCGACGTCGGCGTGGAGAAGATCGGGCTCCAGGTCGAGCCGCGTCGGGGATGCATCGGCGATGCGGCGCGATCCTCCGACCCCATCTGCTCGGACCCCACCTGGGAGGCCCAGATCTGGGGAAATCAACAGGTACCGATACTGCTACTCCCCAGGCCTCTCCCAGGGCGCGTTCTAACCAGGATTTCAAGGCGAATCCAGCGGTGCCGACGAGAGCCTCCCAAGAGGGCGAACAAAGGGGAAAACGGCCGAAGGGTAGCCGTACGGGTACCTTTTCCTCCTCTGAAGATCGCCGCCCGGTCGCGGTCGAGCAGGCGCGCCAGCCTCCGCCGCCTCGCCCGCAGCTCCTTCCGCAGGCGCGCGCGGTCGGCCCGGCCGACGGAGAGCTCCTCGAGCCGGTCGAGGGCCGCCTGCTCCTCCCGGTAGCGGCCCAGGCCCTCCAGGGCGCAGGCCCTCCGGAACCAGGCCTCGGGAGGGGTCCAGGGCCACGCAAGGAAATGGGCACCAACCCCAGGATCCCTCATATCCAAGGGCGCCCAACTTCGCGCTCTCGCGCTGCGCGAAGCGCGACGTGCGAATCACTTCGCGCTCTCGCGCCTTCTCCCAGGGGAGAAGAGGAGGATGAGGAGGAATCGGAGCCGAACCGCGAAGCGCGAATAACTTTGCGCCCTCGATGGCGCCCTTGATATCATTCCATCTTTCCTGGGTTCTCGTCTTACCCCCCCCACACGTCCCACAGTCCCACCAGCCCCCTGGGCGTAGGTGGTTTAGCGCGTTTCCTCTTCCGCCCCTCCCTCTTCCCCTTCGGTGAGGAGTTTGTCACCTTCTTAATATACGCCTTCTCCCCCACCCGGCCAGCGACCAACCCGGAACCATGCCGACTCCATGCAGGCCCGCCTCACACCACCCCTGTCAAAAACAATACAAACCGCACTATGCCTCCACATTTGGAGCATGCGCGGCCAACCCGATGCGGCACCCGCCCACCATCCCTGTCGACAAAAATAATGCGAAGTACACTTTGGGGCAAAGTCTTGAGTCACGTTCGTGAGGCCCGCGAGCACTTTGTATTGTTTTTGACAGGGACGGCGGGGGCGTCAGCATGTTCCCTGCTGCGCGCGGGGCTACCATCCCTGACAACAAAATTTTAAAAGATGCACCTCGCGGCTAAATCTGGATCATGCGCAGCCATCCCGCGATCACCGTCAACTGGTTTTTGACAGGGACGGCGGGGGTGTTGGCGCGTGGCCTGCTGTGCGCAGGCCCACCAGACACAATGATGGGCATTGGTTTTCGGTTAGGACGACGGGGGCCGACATGTCTTCTGATGTGTGCTGTCACGTGCGCAGGTGCACCTGGCGCACTCTGCACATGCCCCGAACGTGGCGCACCTGGCGCGGCTGGAGTGTGCGGCACACCTGGCGCACTCGGCGCACGCAGCGCATCTGGCTCACCAGGCGCGCCTGGCACGCTCGGGCCCCAGGGGTGCCTGGCGCGCGTGGCGCTCCTGGCACGCGTTGCGCACCTCGCCCAAGCGCCGCGCACCTGGGGCTGGCTTTGGTTCCCAGTAGCTGCCCATCCAAAGACGACCGCTGAGCATGCTCGGGCTCTGGTGTTACTTATGAGTTGGGAGGGCGGGTGGGAGTGAGCTGGACGGCTTGCGGGCGTGCGGGTAGCTTGACCCCTCCCCCCTTACCCCCTCCCCTGTACCTGGACGGGGCGACGCGCGGGTCGTTGGAGCGTTCAAGATGGCCCAAGATGACTCCAAGAGGGCCTCAGAGAGCCCAAGATGACCTCCCAGATTGCCCAAGATATCCCAAGATGCGTCAAGATGGCTCCCAAGATGCTCCAAGAGGCCCCGAGACCGCTTCACGACGGTTCCGAGCCGCCACGGAGCCTCCCCGGGGGAGGCCGCCAAGAAGCCAACATCCTTCAAAAACCTACGGAACATCGATGAATGCTGCCGTCTCGCCTTTTCGCTTCCGATGGCCTTCCGAGGCCTCCAGACAGCTCCAGAAGGGCCCCTGAGGGCCCCAAGGGAGGCCCCAGGGAGCCCGAAGACGGCCCCAAGAGCGCTCCGCTCCAAGAGCGCCCCAAGTGGGGCCCAAGAGGTGACTTTTGGGGCTCCCGCGGGGGGAGGCGAAGTGAAACTCCCCCCGTCGTTGATCGGTCTCCTTTCAAGATGGCCCCAAGAGGCGCCCAGGCCCCAGGAGGCCCCAAGATGGCTCCAAGATGGCCCCAAGAGGACCCCAGGAGGCCCCCACGAGGACCCCAAGCGGCCCCAAGAGGCCGCACAGAGGCACCCAAGACGCCCAAGAGCCCCCCCGGACCGCCGAGAGCCCCCCAAGACATCCCAAGAGGCTTCGAAGAAGCGCCCAAGAGATATCCCAAGAGGCTCCGAGAGGCATCCAAGCGACCTCTGGCCCTTTTGCTTGCCCTCCTCCTCCTCCTCCTCCTCCTCCTCCTGCTCCTGCTCCCCCTCATCCTACCACCACCACCACCACCACCACCACCACCACCACCACCTTCACTTTGACCTTCACCTTCACCTTCACCTTCACCTTCACCTTCCTTCACCTTCACATTCACCTTCACCATCATGGTCATCATCATCATGGTCATCATCATCATCATCATCATCATCATCATCATCATCATCATCATCATCATCATCATAATCATCATCATCATCCTCATCCTCATCATCATCATCATCATCATCATCATCATCATCACCATCACCATCAGCATCAGCATCAGCATCAGCATCAGCATCAGCATCAGCATCAGCATCAGCATCAGCAGCATCATCATCATCATCATCATCATCATCATCATCATCATCCATCATCATCATCATCATCATCATCATCATCATCATCACCATCACCATCACCATCACCATCACCATCACCATCACCATCACCATCATCATCATCATCATCATCATCAGCATCATCATCATCATCATCATCATCACCATCACCATCACCAACATCATCATCAGCAGCATCATCACCACCAGCATCATCACCATCATCAGCATCATCATCAGCATCAGCACCAGCACCATCATCATCGTCATCATCATCATCAGCAGCATCCTATCCATCTTCCTTCTCCCCACTCCCTCATCCATCCATCCAGCCTCCTCCTTCTCCTCCTCCCTCCTTCGCACGGTTCGGCTGTCCACCTCTTTGCTCCCGCACTTCCCTGATCACCTCAACTCGCCTGGACATCGTTTCTGGATGGGCTAGGTGGGGATGCGCGAGGCGTCTAGAATCTCCCACACCATCCTGGGAATCGTCGATTCGTTGTACGTACCTGTGTTTTTGTCCCCCTCCTGAGCCTTGTGGTCCCGGTCGTCGAGCTGCAACGCGTCGTCGGCCGCCTGGAGCGCCTCGGTCCAGCACCCCAGCCGGAGGGCGGCCTGTGCCAGGTTCTTCAAGACGGCGGCGTGCAGCCTGGCTATCATCGCGTCGGCGCTCGCGGCCGCAGGGGGCGCCCGCAGGTGCCTGAGGCACGCGTCCGCCTGCCGCCAGGCGGCCAGCGCCTCCTCTGCGTTGCCGTGGTACCACTCGATGTGGCCGTCCTTCTGGCACTTCTGCGCCCAGTTCAGGCACCTGGCCAGCACGTCCGTCACCTCGACGAAGCGCCGCCCGCGCGCGCCCTTCTCCGTCCTCTCGGGGGCGCCCAGGGAGGGGAGCGTCCAAGCGGGGGGTGCGCAGTCCATGGCCCGAGGCACGTGCGCGGCCCCCCAGGGGGGGGGGGGGGGCCGGGGACGCACCGAAGTAGGAAGCGGCGCTGTGAAATCTGGGGAGATCTCGTGGTAGTCCCCCCAATCGTCCGTCCCCCCCCCCCCGTTGGCCGCCCCCGACGTCCTCTCGTGGCTCTCCTCCATGCAGCGCCGGGCCCTGGCACAGAACTCGTCCATCATCCCCGCCGCGGCCCGCTCGCCGCCGAGGTCGATCCGCAGCCGCAGGCAGCGCAGCAGCTCCAGCGAATGCGGCTGCTCCAGCGCCACGGCGAAGGCTGGCGGCGCCCACGAGGGGGCGGGGCGAGGGGAGCGAACGTTCTCACGAAGGCGGCGGTGCTTCTAAGAAGGCACGGGGGCTTCTCAGAAGCCCACGGGGCCTTCTCAGATGGCCCCGCCTTCTGAGACGCCCCGAGGCCTTCTTAACCTGACCTTCCAGAGTGCTAACAAGGAATAGCCCTCGAGACCCATAGACATAGATCTATCTGGACTGCGTCGAATCTCGACTGGACTCTAGATGTCGAGGTCCTGGTGCTATTCTGTTAGCCCTCGAGGAAGGTCTGGGTAGAGCAGCCCCCCCCTCGCGCCACCCCCGTGCGGGCGCCGCCGGGCAGGGCTGGTCGTGCTCCCTCGCCTCCCGCAGCACGGTCCAGAGCGCAACCTCGGTGATCCGGAAGTGCAGTATCGGGGCGACGAGGCGCTTCGCCTCCGCGCTGGTCGTCGTCATCGTCGTCGTCGCCGCCGCCGTCGTCGTCATCGTCGTCGTCGTCGTCGCCCTCGTCGCCACCGTCGTCGTCGTCGTCGCCCTCGTCGTCGCCGTCGTCTCGTCGTCGTCGTCGTCGTCGTCGTCGTCGTCGTCGTCGTCGTCGTCGTCGTCGTCGTCGTCGTCGTCGTCGTTGTCCTCGTCGTCTCGTCGTACAGTATCGGGGCGACAAGGCGCTTCGCCTCCGCGCTGCAGTCCTCCAGGAGCTCGGCGACCTCCTCGCGCGTGGCGTTCGCCCCCTCGACGGCCTCGACCTGGCGGAGCCACACGCCGCGACGCCGGGTCCAGTGCTGCTCGGCACGCAGAAGGGCGCGCGCGTAGGGCTTCCGGGCCGCCGTGTTCCAGAACTCCTGGTGGCTCTCGTCTATGAGCAGGTTCGGGTTCTCGCGCGGATCGACCCGCTCACGCTCCACCTGTCGGGGATCTCCTGACCTGGGTCAATGCAGACCCGGGTCAGTCAGGCCTTGCAGGATCCTGCAACATCCGGCGCTCTGGCTGACCCTCGTCTGCATTGACCCCGTCTCTTCGGCCCCGAACCTGCTGCAACATCCACTCGCGGGTCATGTACGGGGGCAGCCCCGGATAGCCCAGCTCTCGGAGGAAGGTCCGCCGAAACAACGGCGGCGCTCCCGCCAGACACTGACACGTACGCTCGAGCTCGGCCCCTGGGCCACTCCCGTGCTCCCTGCTGGACTTAAGTCATCACGTCCCCCTACAGGGGGATTTTGGACGAGAAATGAAAAATACACCCAAAATGGTGCCCAAATGGTCGAACATAGTCAAGCCATCGTCCCCAGGCTATTTTTTACTATTTGTGAATACTCCTCCTGTCGAGGGGCAGGCCCGAGTTGGTGCTGGACCGCTCTGCGGGGCCGAGGTGGCCGTGGCGACGACCGAGCCTCCAGGAGGCCCGGCCCAACACGGGACGGCGACGGGCGCCGGGGAGGGCCGCGGCCGCCTCGGCGGGCCCACCTCCGCAGCTCGTCGAACTGCTCCTGGCTCATGTGGCTGCTCGCCGGCGACGCCGTCGGCGGGGACAGCGCGGGCGCGGCCAGCGCCGCGCGCACGGGCGGCGGGCGCCGGGCTCGCTCGCCGGGCGGCGGCAGTCCCTGCGCGAGGGGAGGGGCGGGGCGGCCGGCCGCTGCTGCTGCAGCAGCCGCTTGCCGCCGCCGCCGCTGGCCGCTGGCTGCCGCTGGCTGCTTGCCGCCGCCAGCCGCTGGCTGCTGAACATTGCTGAGCTGCTCCTCCTCCGCCTCCTGCGTGTCTCGCTCGCCGCTCCCCCCGACTCCTGCGCCGCCATCGGCAGCCACCAGCGAGCAAGCCCGAAGAAGGGTTCAAGGGCAAAAGCGTTAGGGCTGGCAGGAGACCCCTGACGCCACCGCCCTCCACCACTCCGCCGCCTCCGCATTGAGGGGCCAGGATGAAGAGATACAGTGGAGGCCAGTCCACAAGAAACCTTCCACAAGAAACCCAACCCTGAGATCCCAGGACGTCCATTGACTTTTGGTGTGGGAACGTCACGCTGCCCACAGCAAAACCATCGAAACCCAAGCAACCCAGGGCACCCTGGAGGCAAGCAGGGTGTTTCTTGGCATGGGTTTCCACCGTATGGTGGCCCTTCGGCCACTTCCACTCCGAGGCAACGTCCACTTCCCCCTCGCGCCCCCCTCCCGTCAGCAGTCCCTGCGTTGGGCGCCCCCGCGGCCCCCAGCCATCGCCCTCCCGGGCCACCTCACTGAGAACCAGCTGCTCCCCCCAATGGCACGCTCTCCTCCTGTCTGTCCCCCTCCTCCCTCCCTCTTCTGCTCCCCCCTCCTCCTCCCCCTGCGCGCCTCCCCCCCTTGCCCCCCCCCCCCTCCTCCAGCGCATCCGCCCCCCCCCACTCCTTACTCCTCCAGCAGCTCATCCTTCTCTTCGCTCGTCCCCTTCTGCCTTTTCCACTCATGCTCGTCAGATTCCTCCTTCTCCGTTTCCAACACTCTTTCATCATCTTCCTCCTCCTCCTCCTCCTCCTCCTTCTCCTCTCCTTTTCCTTATAAGTTCGCCGACCCAAGGGGCCAGAGGCGTGCTAAGATCTCCGCTAACAACTTCATAATGTTTCTACTTCGCGCGCGCAGGGCCGCCCAAAAATATCTCCGGACGAAAAATACCGCGACAGACTCCAGGTCAGAGATGGCGGAACTCCTGGGCGCGGTTCTGCGGCTCCCCGGTCGCTCCAGGAGAGCCCCAAAGAGGTTCCAGAGGGCTCCAAGTCGCACACAGAGCGCTACCAGATGTCCAATATGGCCTCCAGACGGCTCCCATATGTCCAAGAAGCCTCCGAAAACAGCCCCAAGTGGCAAAAATCGTCCCATCCCCGCCGCAAAACGTATACTTTAACCAGATTCGCCTCCTCAACCCTCTTAACGTCCAAGACGGCCCCAGACGCTCCCAAGATCGCCCCACGACAGCCGAAGAGATCCCCAACAAGGGCGCTCTGTCGCCCTTCCTCCTCGTCTGTCCACATCGGCCCCCAGAAAATCATGTTTGAACCACTGCGGGCACGTCCTGCCTCAAAACACGAAGAACAGATTGGGTTGAATTAGCGATGACCCCCCGTCATCTCCCCCAGCCACCTTGGCCACCGCGCCTCCCCCAAACCAGCGTTGAACAGGCTCGAACGCTGCCTGTTTCAGAAAACTACTTCGCAAGCTATGTCGACAAGGCATACCTTGATTAACGGAGGACGGGCGATGAACATCACAAAACACTTTCGGACCGCGTGCAGCGGTGGCGACGAGAAGCATGCTGGGAACATCGAAACACATGTCTGTCTGAAAGTTGACTGTAAAACGGTTGTTTGTTCTGCACCAGGATGCCCATCTGTCTGCCAGTCGTTCGTGTATAAGACGCGTCTCCAGGCAAAGTCATGCTGTACAGGTTTAAGTGCTTCGTCTGCTTTAGGTTGACTGTAACACGAATACGATCGCCCCCGCTAAAATCTCAGCTCACTACTCTGCCACGCCCTTCCTCCTCTTCCACCTCCCTCCTCTTCTTCCTCCTGCTTCTCTACCGCCTCACTCTCCTCGTACCACTCCTCCTTCTTCTCCTCCTCCTCCTCCTTCTCCTCCTCCTCCTCCTCTGGCCGATTCCCCTTTCCTGGTGGGCGGAGAGCGCCAAGGGCGGCGCTGGAAGCGCCGCCATGGGGTGTCCAACGCAGATCGCAGCAACCCGCATAGGTCCCCAACAATTTACGTATGCTTCATGCGTGTGCAGTTTTCTGTTCCTCGATTCCCCCCTCCTTCTCCTCCTCCTCCTCCTCCTCCTCCTCCTCCTCCTCGTCACCCTCCTCCTCCTCCTCCTCCTCCTCCTCCTCCTCCTCCTCCTCCTCGTCCTCCTCGTCCTCCTCCTACTCCTCCTCGTCACCCTCCTCCGTATTATTATTATTCTTCTTCGTCTTCTTCTTCTTCCTCCTCCTCCTCCTGCTCCTCCCCCACTGCCGCGCCCGAGTCAGGCCCCTCCAACCCCCAACGCACCAGGTGCGCCTCCATAGCCACGGGTGCCTTCGGCCACCCGAAGTCGTCCACATCCATGGCGACAGCGGCGCGGAGCGCGATGAAGGCGGGAGGGCAAGAGAAGGTGGAGGGGGGGAAGGATGAGGGCGAGGAAGAGGAGGAGAAGGAGGGAGGGAGCGGGAGGGAGGAGGACGAGGAGGAAAGATGATCATGAGGAGGGGGGGAAGACGAGGAGGAAGGGAACAGGAGGAGGAGCAGGAGGAGGAGGAGGAGGAGGAGGAGGAGGAGGAGGAGGAGGAGGAGGAGGGGCGGCGAGAGGGAGGGAGGACTGAGGGGCCTCAAGAAACAACATTCACTGATTCCTACACGATCTCACCTTCGCCGGGCGTCCGACGGCCCAAAGCAATCCAGGAGACCCAAGAAAACCGCCCCGGGGGGGCGGCCAAGAAGGCCGAGGGCCCCGAGCCGGCCCGACTGGGACGCTTAAGGGATGCTGGAGGGGTAGTACAATCGACCCTCAGAATCAGGATGCGCGGCGAGAATGCCAGCGCCCTGGAGGGCCATGTCAACGTTATTCGAACAAGGTGGGCCAGCGAAAGTCGCTGAGGACGGGCCGAAGGGGCAAGGATGTAAGGATAACCTTAGGAGGTATTCTTGGAAGGTTGCCTATCCTTACTGTGCGGGTTGACTGTGGGAGGCGAGTGGAAGACGCCCACCCCATCCTCCACCCCATAATTTTGTGTGGTGGTCCGAGAGTTACAAATGGCGTTGCTCCCGTTGTATGCGGCGTGTGGGTCCCGAGTCCAGAGAGGGATGCAGGGGGTTGAACCCCACGCTCCTGGACTTAGTTCAGAACTATGACCGCAGATGTCACAAGCTCCATACGTCTAGGGCGATTGGTCCAGATCTCCCTGTAATTTGGTGCATCGCATGTGGCGGATTTGCTACCATGAAGTGCGGCCCTAACCTCCTGGGTCACTGTCGTCCGTCCCGCAAGTGCAGCGAGAGACGTAACCTTGTCAAAGGTGAGCTCCCTGGGACGGGTCTGCGTTTGAGTCTCCCACCGACTGAACCTCTCTCCCGTTTGCGGGGCAACGAAGGCGCGGGGTCGGAGTCTGACTAATCCGAGGCTCCTGCCATTTCCTCCCCCTGGCATGTGTGCTGGCATGCTGGCCAGGTTGCAACTCATAACTGAGAACTGAGGGAAGAACCGCAAGCAAACCACATGCGAACCCTGCACCCGCAGGTCAGAATTCTGAAACACCAGCAGAGGGTTCAGAATTGGAGGGAAGTCTGTAACCAAATGGACCTCAGTAGGGGTGTCCGATGCGGTCATAATTGATATTGAGCATGCGCGATAAGGATGCAAGCCCCTTGGGCGCCCACATCGAAGCCTTTCGAGCGGGGCTGGCCATCGAAAGCGGATGAGGATGGACCGACGAGGCAAGGATGCAAGGGTCTCCTTGGGGAGGTCACCGTCGGACCTGGGACAGAAGGGCGTCCTTCGAGCACATGAAGAGCAGTCGAGGGTACCCCCCCCCCAGGACGCACACGAACTTCCAACACACTCTTTACGTCAACGGCGAGGCACCAACGAGCGGCGACCCGGGGAAGCCGATACGCGAATTGGCCGGCGTGCAGGAGTGGGGAACTAGACAGACAGGGCGACCGCGGAAGACAGGAGAGGGCGAAGCATCCAACACGCACGAAGAAAATTAGATCCGACTGTGCCAGCGGTTTCGGCTGATACCCGGCGCTGCCGGCCGACGGGACCCGCAGGGGTCGGGCTCGCAAGGGTGGCTGCAGAAATCGGGCGGCAGGGCACCTGATATCCGCTGGCATCTGATCTGCTCAGCCCGCGGGCTAGAGAAGGTCCCAGCCGCTCCCCCCCTGGGGTAGGAGGAGGGGGGAAAGAAGGAGGAGGAGGCGGAGGAGGAGGAGGAGGGAGGAGGCGGAGGGAGGAGGGGGGGAAGGAGGAGGAGGAGGAGAAGAGGAGGAGGAGAAGGAGGAGAAGGAGGAGGGAGAAGGAGGAGGGAGGAGGCGGAGGGAGGGGGGGAAGGAGGAGGGTGAGGAGGAGGAGGGAGGAGGGAAAGGAGGGAAGAGGAGGGAGGAGAGGCAAGGGAGGAGAAGGGCGAGGGGGGAAGACGAGCAGGAGGAGGGCGGGGTTCGGCGGAGGTGGCCCCCGAGGGCCGACGTGCACGTAGGAGAAACCACTGATCGAGACACCCTCTCGTCGTAGGTGTGGGGCTGGGGGGGACGGGGGGGGGACTACCTACCAGACCACCCCAACCCAACCCGAAGACCCGAATTTCGGGTTGGGGGGGGGTAAGGGTTCCACATGTGTTTTTTCGACGTTTCCCGACCCCCCCCCACTGGAAATCGAGGGTAAATCTGAGCCTTCGGGTTGGGTTGGGGTGGTTTGGTGGGTGGTGAGGGGGGGGGCGTCAGGGTCAGAATCGGCGATACATCCCCGACAGATCAACGATATGCCCCCGACAGCGAATCCGCACGTCCCTGGGCAGGGTGGGCTGTCGGGCCCCTACCGGCTATGCGTGGGCGATTGGGGGTGGACGCATTGCCCCTAATTTCATCCCCCCCAATCGTT